AAAGAAAAAAAAATGCAACACACTTTGGTCTATTAGTTAGGTAAAAAAAAAAAAAAAAACTTAAGTGCGAATATAATTTCAACGTTGAAATCGACCATTAAAAAATCCTAATTTAGTGATCGCTCTGCATGCATGCAATGTTGCATAAATAAATGCATTAATTAAACGGGTTTATTGTTTGCTATAATAGGGAAATAAACATATATGTGCATGTACTGTACATACGATCTTTGATTGGTGATTTAAAATTTTCTTGTATATTTCTTCGGTACACATGCGTACATACACAAAATAAATATGAATTATTTAAAGAAATTAATATTAAACCATTGGTACTTTAACGAAACAAAAAAGAAAAAAAAAAAAAAAGGATGGATTACAGGATAAATAACGATGACTATGAAACAATGCTTCATCCGGGTATGAATCGCTTCGCGGGTCTTTTTAAAATATATTCTTGTGGTTTAAAGTCTTATATTGATAGTTTTTACGACTTTAGTTCATTATTCAACATCTATTGTGGGTTTCGGAAATATAAGATATCGGAAAAAAAAATTTAAAGAGCCTGATTCACCATTAGGGCATGATCTAGCAGATGATGATCTGCTAATGTATGAGACAAAAGAGAACGGCGTAAAGGGGATTTCCAAATTCCTTACAGGGATATCTATTAACGATGTATATAATCTCCTTGGACTTATTATCGTTTCTATCTTTGTAAGATTGTATTGCCTGGACCAACCAAATTCAGCTGTGTAAGCAAATAATTAATTCAAATCAACGTCTTATTCCATCGATTTCTAATGATTGCAACTTTTTTCACATGGATCAGATTTGATGAGATGAATTTTATGAACCTCGCTTCGTGAGAATTTGACATTAATATTTATTATTCATTATATTTGATTTATTTTAAAGCAGGTAACTAAATTGGTTCATTTATTTCTTAGGAAATATATTAAGGGAAGCTTCTTTATTGATATGCATCCACCATTGGCTAGATTGCTCTTCACTTTTGCTGGTGTCTTGGGTGGATACGATGGAAATTTTGATTTTGAGAATAACAAGTAAATTTGAAATGTTCTA